ATTTCTACACTTCTATGTTATCTAGTTTAGAAAATATGGGTTCTCAAAAATGGCTCTTTTTGAAAATCAGTTTTTTTACCAAATTTTACTTTTTTAAAAATCGCATAACTTTTTTATTTATTGAGATATTTTTATAAAATTTGTGGCATAGAGCTTACAATTAAAATTTCTTTCATTACATACTCACTCCAGAAGTCTGCAATCAATAGTTAATTTCAGTTTGGACTACCTAGATTAAGTGCAAGGTTTAGGGATTTGACTTCGACTATGTTTAGTATTAATATGCACTAACTACGCGTAGATCAAGCTTAATTCCGATTAAAATGCCGATTCTGGTCAGAAATCCATTTTCAATGACATTTTTCGTTTCCGATTAAATTTGAGGTTGAGATGATGATTTGGTTTCGATTTAGAGAAAAAGACACCACTATCAACCTATCGCCCGTTGTATCTCTCCCTCAACGGGCCATTCATCTCGTAATACAGTTTAAATGTACAATCAGGAGATATAAAATACAAAATATACAAACTATTTATATTATTGTAGTATTCAATGTCTTCGCTGCCCACATTAGATTCCGTTGTAGTCTAGCGAAGGGGACTTCTGATAATGTTTGCATAAGGGCCAGAAAATCCCAGCTACACTAATGGCTGAACTCTGAGACTGACTCATTGGACTCCTGTGGTTCGAACGAACGAACCCATGTTAAGAACCACTGTTATAAACAATATGAAACAATGATACTAACATCTGAATATAAAAAGAGTACCAAGAATCTACTCATATGGTTAAAACTGACTTTAATTTAAACAAAGGCTGGTTTACATTTTTTCCATACTTAGTAATATTAGTTTGAAAATAAAAATAAAGGAATATGGTTTCGTTTGAATTTACTAGGCAATATACTTTGATATGTTAAATAGCGACTACCACTCTACCTAGATGCTTCTAGACAGCCACTATCACTCTACTTGATGGCATTTAAAACAGCGACTATCACTCTACTTGATGGCATTTAAAACAGCGACTATCACTCTACTTGATGGCATTTAAAACAGCGACTATCATTCTACTTGATGGCATTTAAAACAGCCACTACCACTCTACTTGATGGCATTTAAAACAGCGACTATCACTCTACTTGATGGCATTTAAAACAGCCACTACCACTCTACTTGATGGCATTTAAAACAGCGACTATCACTCTACTTGATGGCATTTAAAACAGACTATCACTCTACCTAAATGCCTCTCAGTAACTACAACTCTACGTGATGCGTTCATATAAAAAAAAATCTGATTTTCCAAATGATAGTTTTTAAAATGCTGCCAACAGATAAATGTAGATGTATCTAACAGTAAACAATGATAGCACTATTTTATTTGCTGATGGAATAACTGAATGAACATTACCACAATAAATCCTTTCTCTGTTAAATTTATGTTGATTTCGAGACAATTAATCCTCTTTAGCCTTATAGAAATATGTACTTTCGTAAATTACACCAATAAATCACAATTAATAAGTTTTGTTAACTGATTTTAATTACAACTCTATCTATAATATGTAATTTTAAAAAAAAACATAGGTCATCTCGCTGCATAATATCAACATAAAAAGCTGAGTGAACAGAAAGAATAAAACAAGTATTTTTGATGTTTTCATACAGCCCAGGTTAACGTTACAGGTTAAGCATCTTGAATAAACGCATATCTAAAATGAAAAAACAATGACATTAACTGAGCTTTAAAAGGCTGTTTTATAAATTAGAACAGAAATTGATTAACTATTATGTCCTTAATGTTTACCAAACTTACAAATTGTTTTAGAAAGAAATTGCTGTTTAAATTAAAAAAAAAAAACAGCACTTCATTTATTTATTGGAGTTTTGGAAAATCAAAATAAATTTTTCTTCAAGTTTCTAACGTTAAAAAAAAACGACTTTATAAAAGACCATTGTAACTATCACAATGTTTTATTGGTACAACTGGCTACATTATAGTACACCCCAATGGAGAAGGCGGATTAGGGGGTAGAGGGCAGAAAGTCTCAAGACATGCAGTTCAAAAAAAGTAATGTTGGAAATAGAATTGTATTTGGCCGTTCTGTCGCTTTTTTTTAAAAAAAAGATTGTAGGGAAAAAAAGTCACAGGAAACAAAAACACAAGGAAAACAAAAACAGAAAAAAAGTCACAGGAAAAAAGTCACTAATATATATTTGCATGAAATTTGTTAGTACTTAAATATTTAGAGAATGCAAATTAACTTAGGATTAATTAAATGTAATGTAAAGTGGGTAGGTTGTATACGCATAATAATTTTTATACTTCATCAAAAATATTTAGTATGAAGTATGTAGATTGTAATTATGTTGCATAAGATTAATGGCATTTAATAGAATGCCCCAAAGTCCACGTTTTTCATCATGTTTTTTTTTAAAAATACCAACATTAAATTACCGTGAAATGAATGGTAAGTTCATCTGACTTGCTGCCCTCAACTCATCGCAACAATAGTTATGTTTAGTTCAACCACCTTTACTGCCCACATTTATCACGCTCATTACATAACAAAGCATGGGATCATACCAGAAAGCCGACAAGGTTCAAAGGCTGTCATTGACATAAAACGTCAACACAAAACATGTTCGGACAATGCCTACTGAGGAGAGGCCGATCAGAGAATAGCCTACGGCAAAACATATGCGAAACACGATGTGCCTAAATTTCTTTTATAATTAACTTTTCTACCGCGTATTTAACTAAATACGTATCAAAAGTTCAGATTGTTGTTAAATTATCTTAGAGTATTTTTTACTTACAAGTGATACAATTTATAATGCTTTTAACGTATATAAATAATATATGCTATCAAAAAATACAACCCACAACAATTAACATACAGAATCTTACAATTCGTAATAAATAAATCAAAATATTTCTAAAAAGATTTATGTGACTTATTTTCTGTGACTTTTTTTTCCGATAAAATTTTTCCATTGTGACTTTTTTTCCTAGCAAAAACTTTTTTTCTGTGTTTTTTGTTCCGTTCACCTTTTTTAAAAATCGTAATCGAAAATGTTTTAGAAAGAAATTGCTGTTTAAAAAAATGTTTGCAATAAACCATGTAAAAATGTTAGAACCAGTAGAATTGACTCTATTGAGACAGACTGAACAACTGTCGAGTGCATCACCATCAACGTGGTCATGGGAAGAGGGTGAGGGGTTATGGAGAAACATAGAAGTGTCGGGAAAATTAATTTAAACAAGCTACAAACATGAGCGGTTTTCGAAACATTTTTAAGTCTGAAATAAATTGGTATAAATTCCAGACTTTGTATCACCCTGAATTAGAGAGATTTAAAAATAATTTTTACTTAATTTCTGGCCTGTGCCTCCAAGGAAATTTTATATTCATACTAAAATTATATGACTTGTAATGAGACACCAACGATAAGTGCTGTTGCAATTGCTAGTTTCCTCCCTTTGTAAAACAAAAACATACGAAAAATGAACCTAAGGGAAACAGATAAAAAGCAATTTATATTATTTATAATGATTGCACTCATTGACAGCTATCTGCATTAACACGAGTCTCAGAGGCGTCGCGAGGCGTGCGAACCGCACCGGGGGACACCATTTAGGGGTGGTGACACCATGGCAAAAGTTGCAAAATATATAGAAGAGATATGCTTTTTGCCAGTTCAATTAATGATTAATTAGAGGTACTAATAACTGACTATAGATAAACAACTTTACTATTAACTGTGCACACTTTAAAACTATCACCCGAGAAAGTGAAAGGGGGGGGGGGGACGGACGGACGGATGACAAGTGTTACATCAACTATAAACTTTACAAGGAAAAAAGGTTTTGTTGAATATTTTGAATGACTGGTAAGTCAATGAACGACCGGAGAGGGGTGACACCGAAATCTAATAAATTACGATTAAAAACGATTAATATAATGTGCGCAAAATGGGAGGAGGTGGCACCAATTGCAACTATATGTATAAGCCTATGTAAATCTCTGGGTTATATTGCTCGCAATATATATATATATATATATATATATATATATATATAGAGAGAGAGAGAGAGAGAGAGAGAGAGAGAGAGGCCTATATATGACACCATGGTGCCGCACCGGGTGACACCCGATCTAGCGACGCCACTGACGAGTCTTATAATTAACACAACATATTGTATGCAGTTTTTGAACTAGTAGTAAGAAACTAAAGGGGTGTTTCTTTCAGGCATCTCTTCGGTGGGGGTCGTGCCCCATACCCCGAGAAAAAAAGCCTGAAAGAAACACAGGGTTCACCTGTTTTTGTGACCTCGGCATTTAAAGGGATAATTTAATAAACTCTATGCCTAGCAACCTTTGCTTTCCATTGAGTCTAAGCGTTTATTGATCTTCCTATTTGTTTTTTTTTTTCGTAAAAACAGTTACATTGTTTCACTGTGAAGATCTTGTACAAGCCATATCATACTTTATATACCCTATATACTTTAAATGATTGGTAAAGTTATTTGAAAAATGAGTAGTTAAATCACATCAACATGGTAGATGTTATTTTTAAGTGAGTAAAAACTTAAGTCATGATGAATCAAACTAATATTAAAATAAAAACGTTGATAATATAATAGCAAGCTTTTATTTATGCACTAAAAAGTAGAAATTAGAATGAGTTTCTTTAAAATGATAGACACCACTATTTATATAACTACAACAAAATGCAAGTGTCCACTCATACACTTTTATAAAGAGTATTCAATTACAAAAAAATATTAATACTATCCACTTTTAGCAGGATTGGACTACAAGTGTAGCAGTATAGAATTGCTTTTAGACCAATTTAAAAATAGGTTTACCCAATCCCAAACTTTTCAGTAATAATCATCCACACTATAAAATGTGATGTAATATATCTTTTAATGTTACACAAATAAACGTTTGTAATTAATTAAATTTTAGTTTTCAGTTAAAGCCCCCCCCCCCCCCCCATTACAGAAAGTCAAATCACATGAATTATAACACTTGTATCGGATCTAGTCGGATAATATTGGATTTAGTAGAACTTGGTGAAATTTTATTTCTTAATTTCTGCTAATGATGATAGACTCAAGCATGAGGAATGAAGTATAAATAAGAAGAGACAGATTGCAACAATTATACTACATACCATAACAGATCTTGTCTACCTCTACTTCAAGCTATTTGACTGAAACTGCAAGTCAGTGAAAGCTAACTGAGCATAAAGCTAATAATTTTCAAGAAATTATGACCTTATATGTCTGTGTATAAAATTTGCAGAGGCAATAAACAACAGGGCAAACAACATTCATGCATCCTTGGGTAATGGGGTACAGTCATAGACATACTTGGAAGAGGCATACTGATAGTTAGTCAAAAAGTCATACAGGCTCAAAATTATTTTAAAAAACTAGGAATCTAAAGTGTAGACTAATTATTTTACTTTTACTCTTTGCTTGGAACACAGTAATATGAATAATGGTATAATTTGTACTAAAACAATTAAAAAAAAAAACCCACTGAATAGAGTTTATGAACTTCATCAAAATAGTACATTATAAAAACTGAATAAATGCAATGATAAATAATTTAATATGCTATTGATACAATAAATTAAAAAAATACTTTGCCTGATAAATGGGTATTATCACTGATATTGGTTTATATCTCTATTAATATGTACAAAAGATTTAACAAAAGGTAGTCTACCTATTTAGAGCAGGATAATGTGGATACAACTATGGCTTCTGACAGGTTTTTATTACAAGACCAATAACAAGAGTTGTAGCATACCACACTTTCTTCATTGAGACAAATATAAACTTTAGTATTACATTAAATTCAATATTATTGCAATTCATTAAACACAGCCAACAGGATGAATATTGGTCATAGACAATATTTAAAGTAAATAATATATGTTTTGACTTCAACCTTCATTTTAGGATGTCTGTGAGTGTACTTGTCACCCCCAGGATAAAAGATAATGCATTTTTGATAACCACAGACAACATGAATTCCAGTTCTTTCTTTGGAAAAATAAAATAAAAATTATTTTGGGGGAAAAATCTAATATATCCATTTCCCAACTATCTTCACGGGAGATTTAATGCTTAAAACAAAAACCACACACAATCTAGTTTTTTCTAAACATGTGATTCTTTTTAAAAGTAACTAGCAGATTAAAAAAAAGTAAAGAACAGTTTAAACCAAATGCACAGTACATTTTAAGTTATGGAGCATTTCAGTCAACAAAATATTTTTAAAAGTAAATTTTAAATGCCAACCATTCTTTTCACAAACTCTAATTTCATCTTACAGCATAAAAAACATTTAGCCACATTTTTGACTTTTAAGATTTGATAGAGATGAGCAAACTTTACTTCTGTATAAAAAACTTCCAAAAGTGGATTGGTAAATGTATGGTATTTTAAATATCTCAAGTTTCACAGAAAAATACTTTTGTGTAATCAGAATTGTTGAAAATATGCTATTGAAGAAGTGTGTTTAATTCGTTTAATTTAGAATAAGTTCTTTTTGTTCAAATATAAAAATGCTTTGTTTTAGAGTGAAAGCTGCCCTAAAACTAAAAAACATTTTTAAAAATCAAATGAGAGAAATCTTATAAAAATATAAAGTACATGGAGGAACATATTTAAAACTTTAAAGAAATAATATTAAAAATAATTGCCAAGAGAATTATAACAAGTGAAATATTATTGCAATTTTATTTCACTTCCAAAACAAGTTTAAATACAAAAGTAGGAATTGTATGTTTTCCATCAGAGAATACCTGCCAAATTAAAATGAAGCAGTACTTTTTGTTACAGAGTATTGCACTGGCAGATAACAAGTATGAACACCTTTCTTGCCTTGTATAACAGTTAATGACTAGATCCAGTATTTTTCATGAGTTCATCATACATCCCTGTACATTGGTTCTCACAAAACAAATGCACTCAATAATGTAACAATTAAAACTAAATATTTATTAACAAAATTTATTAAGACTTAACATGTAGTCCAACTCAACTTGAGCGAGAAAAATAGAACTGCAGCAAAGTCTGGAAGACCAAAATGACAGCCATACAAACCCATTCTCTAACCTGAAGACCTCCTACAGCACTGGCTTGATTTGGTTCTCTTTCAATTGGAAGGTGTTGAGACTCGGGCTTAGCCTGAGATTTTTGGATGTCTACCACTCGGGACATCATGTCATTTAATACAGCATGCATTTCATCTTGCATTTTAGCTATCTTAACCAAAGTGTGAACCTCCTGTGTGACAAGTGATGTCCGTCCAGCCGAGTCTGTTGTGACATGTCTAAAAGATGGACTAACAGAACCTGGTTTGGAGTCCCGAGGTATTGTATCACCACTTTCAACTGAAGTTTTCAAAGGAGATACCTGTGTGTATTTCATATCCTCCCTAAATGATATTTTAGAGGGGCTCCCCCTGTTGTCAGTAGATGGGAGCCTACTAGCAGAAGTTGGGCCATGTCTTCTTGTTCGTTCAGGAGTTGAAGAAACTTTGTTTTCTGGATAAAGCACATTTACTTTTTGATGATGGTCTGTTTTTTGGGTGGACTTGAGACCAGCATTTTCTTCTTGAAAATGACCCTTGTGAGATTTGTTACCATCAGATGCACTTAGTATATCAGAGGGACTTGACTTTCTATTTGTGTTCCTGCATCTGGCATCATCAGACTCTAAAGATATCAGTTCAAAAGTAAAATTAGCTACAAGTTTTCTTGGCATAACATTCAATGATAAAGAGCCAAAAATCCTAAGGTAAAATGTATAAAATATCCAGTGGTTAATATTACAATTGACCTTAAAATTGTTAATTAAGTTATACAATACTAGCCGGACCTGCAGCATTGTTATCAGATGAATAGCTGTCATCAGTGGCAAGCATTGAATGTCTACTGAAACCTTTGACAGATGTGGCAGGCCAAATATGTGGCACTGTATGAAATGTTTGGGTCTTTATGATGTAATCCTTCTCATACTGAATACAGTCAGTCATAGGATCCCATGGTCTAGCACTGAGGATATTTAATCACACTCTTGATGTATGCACTTCATCAACTGATAATTCACTGAATATAGCAAAGTCATTGAAATGGCAGGAAATGTTTACTAGTATTAACAACTGGATGTATTTGTTAAGGATGTTGTCAGTAGCTGTTTGGCAACAGTAAATGAGTCTAGCATATTAATTTCCACTCAATTACCCCCTCCCAATACACTTCTATGGTTATTACCCCCTTCTCTCTCGTGAATAGCTCAGGTACATGTTACTAGCATAGTGAGAAATCTGGCATTTTCTAGATTCCTAAAGAATACCTGAAATTTTTATTTGTGTAGGTATTCTACAGAATGGCTAACATTTCCTTAACACTACCCTAGTTTAATCCATATTAATATTATTTAATGGTTAGGTGTAGTGTTAGGACAAGGGTTAAATTGGAATTAAAGCATCAGGGGGTAATATATGATTGAGTAATTGAACTGCGGTAATATAAGGAATGATGGGGAATGATCATGTAGTAATTGATAAGTGGTGATGTACTGCTCTAGCACTAAATACTGGTTGAATTTCTTGTGGATGGTGTCAGTCACTGCTGCTATAGGTGAATGGTATTTAATTAAAGCATAAACACTGGTAAGTTTAACAACCAAGGGTTATTTAGTAAAGGAGACAAATGCATACTCCACATGTTTGTAGATCCATTTGTTTATAGCAGGGTCAAGGTTAAACCATTTTGGTATCCATTCTACTTTGTTTCTATGTCGCTCTTTGGCCTCATTACGCTGTTTCTCTTCCAACTTATGTTTTTCTGAAGTGGCTGCATGCATGTCTTGTATGACCACAGCATCACTAACCTTCTTCCACAATCTGTTAAACAGAGCCAACTCATTTTATTAAACAAAAATGTTCATAAAATACTATCTAAAACTAACAAAACTAGTTTTTTAAAAAGAAAATACTAAGTACCTTTCAGATTCATTATCTCTCTGTAGCTCTATTGGTACAGTATACCTCACTAGTCTTTTGCTCCTTGTTTCAGGGGATGGATCCCAAAACAAAACTTTTTCCTTAAAACAAATAATTATCAAAGCAACTGGTTTTTGGGGTTGCTTATGTGACTTAAGTACTTGCATAAACTGAACTTAAATTCTAAAACATAAAACAAGTTTTAACAGTGCAAGATCATTGATTTTTCTAAACATGTAAACTCTGGATTTAGATGTGTAGTTGTAATGTGTGCCAATGTAACTGATGCATACTAGATGTGTAGTTGTGTCCAGATACAGTTTAACAAATTTAATTCCTTAGGGGATATAATGTCACAAGTGTTAATCTTTTTTAAGTTAATCACATAAAACAACAAGTTTAACTTGATTTTGCCTCTAAAAAGAAAGATAAAATTTATCTACAACTCACCCTGTTTGTTAGCTCCTTTATGTAAATCTGCTGGTCCCAATGACCCTCAAATGTACATAATACCTCTTCTCCCATTATAATACGTCCAGTGATACGATTTGATGCTTCTCCATTACTAAAAAAGGGCTAAGGATAAAAAATGTTAATGCAAAAATTAAAAGTGGATATTTTTCTACACAATTCATGCTAAGTTAGATTCCAGACCTATACAGCTTTAACAACTTTTTATGAATATAAATTAACCAATAATGTTCAAGATAGTTTTCATCGCAGCACAACTGAAAAAATGGGCCTTATTACCATAAACTATGACAAATTTACACTTTAGAGACCTTGCAAGAAGCAATTGCTTGATTAGCAAATCCTGATTTTGCCAGATCATAGCACGGACTTGACTCAAAAGAGTACAAGCCCAGCACAATCGTTTTGGTCTACAGATCTCCTGCCAACGTACCAAAGCCTATGCAAAAACATTCATAAATATTGCGGTACTCCAGATTACGCCATTCCTGGAAGAATACCAATATGGCCACATAGAAACATGTTCAGAGATAAATACAATCAGACCAGATAGAAGAACATCTACAGACTTTGGTTCAAAGCATATTTGTGTATTTGCTCAATGTGAAAAAGACCAATGTGCCATGACTTTATTACTTGTCTTAACCTGTTAATAACAATGTAGGCTACGTATCTCAGAATGGTCATCTTATATTTATATCCACCTATTTAGAAAAAAGGGAGGATGTTACATGTTAATGCTTGTCTTTGATGGTTGTTACCTAATCCTAACCCTTATATATATCAGTGATGTTCCTTGAATGTTCTGAGAAATGTGTAAGCTGTGTATTTACTATGATTTACTGTGTATTTCATTGGGCAGTTACTATTGCTACATACCCACCTCTCCCGTCCTGTACAATTAGACGGGGGGGGGGGGGGGTTATAGACAAGATGAAGAACAATAAAGAATAAACACAATTAGCAATTATTTCTACACTTTAATGCCACGATATAAGTAAAACACCTAACATTAAACCGCCACCACATGGAATACAATGAGGAAAATACTACTATTTACAACTATAATAAGAAGTCCTTAATGTGACTACCCTACTTGTCCCTAAAGGTCAGTTCTACTCTACAAACATCTTGTGGCACTGCCCCAACTCACGAGATCCTCTTTGGTCAGAAATATTTCCCAGTCATAAATTACAGACTCAGTATATGAAGCCTTACACCAGCGGTCTGCTTGGCCAGACCCCAGGTTTCTCACTGCCATAAATCACAGCTCTGGACTGACCGCATTTAACTGCCTAATAGTGGTGATCAAGCGCTGGTAACGTCTACCATATTTATGGGTGTCTTCCCCTCCTTTAGGGTCAGACCTGGTAAAAATCCCAGGGGTCGTAACATTATGAACAAAACATGGTAATCAGACTTGCTAAATAAAGTGTTAAGTAAACTTGATGGTGTCTACTGTTTTAAGTACAAGCTGAGTAATGTAACAGTAACTAATATGGTCATCACACTCCCCCCAATATGCACTATTTTCCCTCTGTAAAGTAAACAATAACACATCTAATTTCTAGGTGATCACAAGAATTCTTGCACTAGGGCATCAACTGTTTCACAGACAGCAAATTTTCATAAGTCAAAAGATCTTAGTTGTGTGTACAAACCTTTAATTTAAAATCCAGATCACAGTGGTAGCCAGTTTTAGGACAGTCTATGGTTACTTTTCCACCCATTTCCATGGTAAGTGTTCCCAACAATATACCTAATTGGATCAACAAAAAAGTGCACTAAGAATAACTGATGCTTGATTGAAAAACAAGTTACTACTAAGAAAATGAAATAAAATCACCAAAAGTTAAAGCTAACCTTTGCAATGAGCATAGGGCATTGTTAAATAATAGTCTTCTCCTCGTTCAAGAAATGTTAAAGTTGCCACTCCATCCAAGATGGCTGAGATGGAATTACCTGAAACCATGTAAGGAGAAAGTAATGTCAGTTGGCAGAGAAGCACAAATAAACATGCCATCTCCCACCCAATTCACTCTTAAAATGGATAAAAAGGAGCATGCCAAAAATACAATGTCAACTGCACTGAACTAAAAAGCAGCTAAGGAGCTTATGATTTTTAGCCCTTGCCTAGTGTCTGAACGATAGGGGGGTAAAAAAAAAAACCAACTTTGGTGAACGCGTGTGGACTTAGGGGGGGGAGAGAGGGGGGATAGATGGAGGGTTGATGTGGACGACCACATGTGGAATTTAACCACCAAATATTACATTTGATGATTTTAAATTTAAAAAAAAAAATGCATATAAAATGTAGATTATACATTAAATTGGCAGTTCTTGTGGTAAATCAAATGTATCAGATATGTAGCTGTTTATTGCTACATCTAGTCGTTTCTTTTCAAATAAAAAAAACAAAATAACCATGTTACCATTAGATATTTAACCCTTTCCCCGGCAACATATTTGGTACCCTGTCCCCGGCAACTGGGTGGATCACACCCAAAGACTTTCTTATAGTAAATTCTTTTCTTTGTTCATTGTGGGGTGGGTAACAATACTGACACAGTTAAGGTATTCAGGGCATTGTGGCCATGGGGAACACAAGACATGTTGTTGTCAATGGGAGAACTGTAATATGATACTACAGGTTGATGGGATTCTCAAGCAAGAGTTAACCTGTGGGTGGACACATGTAGTGATTTATACTCTTTGCTGGAGCTCTGACTTGCAGTTACAGACAGAACTGTAGTTTAGAGTTACAATAGATTAATGAAATGCAGGGGTAAGCTTGCCTGTGGGAGGACATATATGGTGATTTGTACTCTTTTAGGGAGCTCTGGAATGTAGAGACAGTAGAGCATTTTAGAGTAACTTGACATTAACCCCATTATGAGTACGAATGAGGACAAAAAGGCAAAACAACTTTGTAATGCTGCTTGAAAGTTGATACTGGGCAATGAATTGATCAAACTGGGAGTGGGGTAGGTGTTCTACAGGTTGTGACCCTGAGAGTAAGGTTTATAAGTCATTAACGTTATTGAGAACACAACAGAAACAAGTCTTGAACTTTTTTGTCTAAACTCAAGTGCTAATGATAAAGGAATATATTTGCCAGTTTTAGTATAGCAGGTGAAAATGACCAACAAGTTTTGAGTTTGAACTATCAGTATCAGAGGTAGTGGATGAAGAATGGCAGCCATCATTACTTGAAGACAATGCTGGTTCAATTTCAAGCAGCTCTGATGATGAGGTCTACCCAATATACTGCATTTCAACTATCAATAATGTGAACAGTTGGCACTCATAATGAAATGAGACTGATGGTGCAAAGTGAAGAAAAAGAAATATTTTCAGGAAAGACAAAGTAACAGTACACTAGACCACTGCCAGAAGTGCAAATCCCAAGAAAAATATAAACAGCCTGACTCAAAATATTTCTTCAGTGCATGTATACAAAACATAATACAACCGATATTTGACTGCATTAGCAGAGATGGAGAGAAAGCAAGAGGAGACACTGGCACTCTGCAGAATAACAATTTAGTTGTATGTCAGTTCAGTACTGCTTATGGAAGTTTTTGAAGGCAGAATTTTCTATGAAGAGATTCAGCAACCTTCTGGGTCATATTCACTTTCACAACAATAACACTAACAGTCCATCAGGTTCATGGTATATTTGCTTCCATTATGGTAGATACTCCATACACATTTGGCAGGGTGTTATGTTTATGGAGAGATCATTACTAATTGGGAAACTGGTTGATTTTAGAGGTGGGAGAAGATTTATCCAATACATACCAAGCAAAATTCTGATAAGTATGGAATTAAAATATTTTGGGCATGTGACTCATGTAACACCACTAAAAGGGTGCCCATATTTTGTCAAAGAAAACTAAAGTTCCCTGCCAGCAAGAGGAAATGTCCAGTTATTTTAATTTTATCTAACAACTGTGCTCTCTGAGGTGCAAATTATTAAAACGTGTTAATGTTCTATTATTTTATTACTAAAGTTGATTACTTCAAACCTATTGGATATTTTTGTTACTCAAATACCTTCAGATTGTTAATTTATAGTTAAACTTTGAAAATGTAACACAACGACTTAACCCACAATGTGTAAAAACAAATATTTAGAAGCCAGTTTATAAGTTATAAATATTTTTTTCCATTCAAAATTGTGTACGGGTGTGTAAAACCCAGTTGCCAGGGACCGTATAAAAAAATTTCAAACCCTCATAAAAAATTTTTTTACGCATAGTTTTAAAATTTACAACCTCCAATGTGTTCATCCCAACCACCTTATAGATGGGAATGAGGCCCAGAAAAAATTATAAAACAAGACTCGAGATATGAGCAAAAATATAGCGACTTCGGGTCGATTACACCCAGTCGCCGGGGAAAGGGTTAAATATCAGCCCATGTATAATGTGCCTTGGTCAGGTGTGTAGGGCTAACGGTAAGCGCGACCACAAAAGGAGGAGAGGCAATTTGTTATGGAAACATGCAGTGTAAAGTTAAGTAAAAGTAACATAATGAAGTCACGTTGATTAGCCAAATTTACCCGAGCCAGAGCCCATATGTTGTTGATAGCCACAAATGACAGAAAAAATTTTGGTCTACAGCATCTGTTATTTAGATAAAGTGTATGAATGCCTGCAATCTCTGACCCTTTATAAAAATAGTGGGTAAAAAAGCCTTAAAAATTGAAAGACAGGGTACACAGCGTCACAGTGCGATTACTCTTTCAGTAAAGAATAATTTTAGATAGTTTTAGCACATTCATTTGGTAAGTTTACACGCCGTATACTTACGAACTTCTTGGAAAAGTTTAATTCCCAATTATTATTTAGGCCTAGTAATAGATGTTACTGAAAATATCAAATCCCTATATTACATTACCAGTTAATGTTGTATTGCATGTAAATGAATTATTAATTTTGCAGCATGTTTTGAGAGGTCTACTAAATTTTTGTGGATGTCCACAATGGGGGAGGGGGGTGTTCGTCAAAAGTGGCCGCATGTGGACGGTGCAGGAGTCTAAAATTCCAAAATTTTGTGGACGTCATGAATAGATGACCCCTAAGATGAGGGGTTGGGTAAAAAATTAAACACAACAAGTATATGCTGGAAAAGTATGGATGCTAAACAGCGAATGACTTGTTCAGAAAACAATTATTTTCAGTATTTTTCTAGGTGAGAAAATTACAAGAAGATGTGTGCTGGGAACAAAGAACTCAAGCCCATTTCAGAGGCGACAAATGAGAAACATGGTTTTGAATTTGAATGTTGATGTCAATGCAAGTTTGAAGTCAGTTGACAATATTTCAAAGTTGCAATTCTAATAAATTCAATAGATGCACATATGGATAAGATGTTTTGACCTGATCTTCCAATTTCAGGGCAACTGAATAAACAAATGGTAAGACATTAGCGGATGTATCTCATTTCACTTTTATATTGTCAACCAGCATTTTTAGCTTGAGTGAATTAGTTTTGATTCATGCAGTAGTTATGTAAAGTAAAAAAGTAAAGTTCTCATTTCAAACCTGACAGTCTATAGGGCAAGTGAAGTAGAGTTCACTTGTTTCTCTAACCTCTGATTATGAAGGGATAGTGTGGTCTGCACTATGCCCAGCCACCTTTACTTTCCCTAATGTGAGTTAGGTACCCATCAGAGTAGTTATTAGGGGAAAGAAAATATAATATTAAATGTGAACAGGACACTAAAAATGGGAAAACATTTCTCCCTCTAGACTAAGTTTAAATCTTTAAATTAAAAAAAAAAAATAATTGAACCTACCATAAAATTTAGACTTTGCCAAAATACAACCATTAATGTTGAAACCATCATGCCTGTTGGTTACATGGAAGGCTGAGATTGGTGGATGATGGGATATCTGAGAAAAGTTTTATTTATTAAATGAACAAACATTTAATAAAAGTTTATAGTCAGAATTTACTAAGTGTATTTAATATTTTGCCTACCTGTTCAGAAACATAAAAAGTCCTACTGTTGGTATTAGGGTGGACCCAGTAGCAACGAAATGTTTCTCCTATTATGGGATTATAAGGCTTTTTCAAACCCTAAAATTAAATAAATTGTATTGAAAAATGCACAATGATAAGTAAAATAAATTTCATTGAAGCAAAGAAAAAAAAACAAAACATACAGACCTTGGGTTTTTTGTAGAATCCTGACAAATACCACTTGACTACCATTTTCATTCTTTCAAGAGCAGTTTCTTGCTGGACTGCCCTAAAAGTATGAGATTAAAAAGAATGACATATCAACTAATCAAAATTTTGTGTTCTCAAAACATCAAAAACTAAATAACAGCAAGAGACTTGAAATGAAAACCTACTGTGATAAAATATCAGCATGATAATAGTAATCTGTTAATTTATCCAGGAAAGATCTTGGTTCCAGTATAAAGGTTGGAAGTACCACTTTAGATAGGTCCATACCCGGACGTACCTTGAATGACAAACAAAACCTTTGGTTAAGAACTAAGTCATTGGATTATAATACATCTACTGATGATTTGAATGTTGATAAATCTCAAAAACCTGTTTCACTAAGGTCCAAATTAAACTTTTATTTTCGTCATCAACTTCTTCTGTTTGACAAGCATCTCCTTGCTGTGGATAAGAACAAGTCAAAGTAACAGAAGTAAAGTTTGTAATTGAAATAAAATTACTTAAATAATCCTGCACATTATGTCTAGAATCAAATACTTTAAAAAAATTTCAGACAATTGATCAATGAATATCTACTACTAGTCAAATCAACAGTAACTTCTGGCCTTGCCTTTGGTCAAAACTGTATACACCTGAAATTTCCTAAGTATTTTTTTAAAATGCATAACCAGAGATGTAGAAACAAAAAAAAAACAAAGCTTAGAGCAATAGAGTACATCCCTTTTTATTATCTGTGTGTAGCTAGGAATAATTTGTGCATCTCACATTTGTAAGAAATTTTTTTTTTATGTTTTGTAATTTAAGATAGTTTTGTTATTTAAGGAAATTAAACTTTACAGCTTGAATTATACTAGTTAGTTGCACACAATTTTTCAATTGATGAAAATGACAAAAATAACGACAGGGTTGTATTAATGGGACTAAATGCTGCAAAACAATACCAAATTTATGTTTATTGGATAAACGGTTCTCTAGATATGACGGTTTTAGTGTAAAAATTGCGGGGACAACTAAGCCTATGGAGAATGAAACCAAAAGTTGGTCACGTCGAGAGTACGAAAAAAGCGAATGGGAAAATCTTCTAATAAAAGGCATAATTATAATTTCTCAAAATTATTACATTATCGCAGTTTAACTTTGCGCGCGTCTAGTCTAGAGCGAAGAGAGTAGGTTACGTAAGACTAAATAAATTGTAATAAAATGTTTTTAAACAATCTAGTTTATTAGCTTTAAATATATTTACGCTTAAGGAAATACCAAAGCTAGATTAAACTGTCAATGAAAGCTTAATAATAAAAAAAGCCTAAAATTAAGTAGGTTTACCGTTTAACACTAATTAATTACTAGATCTAGATCTAAATGTAAAAAATAGACTCTAGTTAACTAGTACCTAGAATCTAGACTAGATCTAGATCTAATCTAGAAAATCTAGTACTAAATACAAATAGCTAGACTCTACCCTAGAATCTAGACCTAGACTCAATCCCCATCGCCATCATATCTCTAAACTCTAAAGTTTAACTAGATTTAGATCTAGAATCTAGATTTAAATGAAATTCACGATTATTGAATTTTTTACGGACACATGCATGGTGCATTAAAATTAAATTAATTTAAAACAACAAAGATCTAGATTCTAGCTCTACTCCAAAATTCAACCCTGATTGTTCATGATCTACGACGGGCGCGTTCTAGATTCTATCTAGATCTAGATCTATTGAGAGACATTTAAAAAAAAAATATGCATCATGACAAAACTTGATTCATTAAAAATAGGCCTAAACAAGTAAACATGGATATTATTATTAATAATTAATGGTTTAAATCATGGCACAATAAAGAGTAGTTTAAAAATGTTAAGAAACAACAAGTTACAGTATAGTATTTAAACTATTTATTATAGCATACATGGAAACTTATGCCTACATTAAAAAATTGAATAAAACAAATTCATAAACAGAGTGTGTCTTTTTATTTTATTAAATATATAGGAAAGTCCCAAAGTTTACAAGCTTTTAATTTTAAGAGTAATGTGTGAATAGAAGCAACAATCTGGCTAGTTTTGTGTACAGTGTAGGATGTGTAGTCTCAAAGTCAAATGAATAAGCTAAAGGCTGATTATGTATGAATATATTAATTAATAATTATTAATACATGCATCTGATTTACAGGAATAATAAGATATATCATAACTACATATCTGATCAGTCCTGCTAATAAGATGCATATATTATTATTAGATATATATTTATGATATTGACAAACATGAACTTAGAATTTTATTTTGTTGAACAAGGAGCAGTCACAAAAATGTATATATAAATTCTTGTGTTTTATAAAGAGACTAACTTTGTGCATTGCAATGGATATAGCTTTAATTTATTAAAAATTGTACAATATAACTTCTAAAGGAACATTGCAATGGATATAGCTTTAGTTTATTAAACATTGTACAATATAACTTCTAAAGGAACTTGTAAATTAAAACTCAAACAACAGATGCTTACTGATCATATCAGTTATTAAAGTAGCTACATTGAGTTCTGAGTCTTCACTATTTTCCTCATCAATTGACCAATAACTTTCAATAAGCAATTACAAATCTATCAAGTTTTGTCTCACTAGCTGAGAGTCTTAAGACTATTCTGCCAAAAAACAAGGTGTCATTGTCATTTATACATTCCCACTTGTGTTTTAGCAGTTGGCCAGTCATATCCTCTCCATTGATAATTTTAGCTAACACTTGTTTTTGTCTGGTCTCCACATTGCAGAATATTTTATCATAAATAAATAACTGACCTTTTGCCAACTTATCAACATCTATCTTTAACTTCTTTCTTTATTTATTTTCTTTCTTGATTCTTCTCTTCTTTGTATGATTTCACTTTCAATTTCTCGCTGTTGGGTTTTGTGTGATCTTTGCCTGCTAGCACCTTCAGTTATAGCAAAATCAATTAGCTGATTTTGTTCATTGATACTTTTTGCATCAAGCCACTCCATTGTTTTATTTAATTTAGCTTTAACCTTTTCTCACAGATAGTGGTGTTGCCTGTGTTTTTATTCCTACATAGGGTTCATTGAAATAACTAACCAACTGTTGCCAATTTCTTTCAGGGTTTGATTTTAAGAGCATGAATTTTTTTATGATTCTGTTTACAGAGTTTCTGTTAGCAAAATAATTTTTTGTTGTTTTTATATGTCTGTTTCTATCTAATAGCTCATCAAGTACCTTACATCAGAATACCTTTGATAGAGATTTACTACATTCAAGGCATTCTTCTTCCCCATTCTGTCTTGCCTATAAATAATGAAATCATAAGTAGTTAGGCCTAATTATAGTTATACTATTTAATTTTTGACAATGGATACCTAAAAAAAATTAATAGTTCTGCTTATAATATATTTTATTATTTAAAAAAAAATACACGGACCTTTTGAAGAAGGGCATCGATACCACTAATTAAAAGAGTGACTGGTTTTTGTAACGTCCGCAAAAAATATGTTACTACTAATATATCAAGTTATAGGCTTAATAAAGTTAATTAAACTTGAATAATATTAAATATATTAATATATTTATTACAGTTATTAGTTAAACAAAAATTAGTGTGTTTGTGAGTGCTTAAATAAAAGAACAACTGAGTAATAATAAGCTAGTAAGTCGAAAACAACGATATGCCTATTTTAAAATATATAGTATATTTAATAGGCCTACTTAATAGGTTGACAGACATGCAATATGGTGTTTTATTAACAAGAACCTTACAATTTAAACAATAATTGAATCCCTTATTTTAATTTTATCAATATTAATCATGTATAAAGCCTTTAGAGCTAATTAATTAACTAGGAAGTTCGGGGCTTAAAAACTAGATTTAAGGCTGAACGGAGATGCGTGTTAAGCGGTATCGATATTACTAGTATTGGTCTACTTTGTGAGACCATTTTCTATATTTTCTACATTGTTAATTATTAACAAAAAGAAGTCTACTAGTGCATTTAATTAAATAGATAAATATATTACACTCAATCCATGTTTAGTTTAAGTGTGTATCTTTTTACAGTATTTTATTTAAATAGCTCGATTCCCAGTTCGATCATGATTACAGCGAATTAGTCACAACTAGAGCGGGCCTTCAAAACGTTACATATTTGTATAAATGTGTTTTGTATTAACATTTAACACAAGATAATTACGTTAGCAACATTTAAACTCCAATTTTGTAAGTGTTCTTTTTTTTTAAAAGCGTCAATGTCATAAAATTTATTATATTTTACAATCAATCAATCGGCGCGGAAAGGGGTATAAAAAGTATCGATACCGTTTAAATAGTGTCATTCGGAGGATTGCTTTGTGAGACGAAGTTCGTAGTCTGCTAAAGCGTAAAATATTACAGAAAATTAGACTTAAGCAGAAAAATGGATTATTAAAATAATCCTAACAAATACAGAGCTAGTCCGAGTGTTAAAATATTTTATTACAATTTTTGAAAACTTACCTTTTTTAGTGGCTTTTGTTTTGACATATAGAAAAGGGGTCTTGAACAAAAAAATAATCTGCCGTAAGCGGCCGCATCAAGTCGTTCCGACTAAAGTTAAAACGGGTTACGGAATCACGTGATATCTATTTTAAAGCCGTTTGATGCGCTATGTGTAGACGGCTGTAGACGTAATTATTTTCTTTGTAAACGAAAGGTTTTGAGACTGTGACGTCATATTTTCTTGGTTTGTGCAACTAACTAAATTATACTCTCTAAGGTTTTCACTTGAGTGGCCTAGATTACTTGCTTTTATTACATCATGCTGCACCTTAAAATATAATTACGCAACTTTTTATTGTGATTGTAAAAGCTATACTGCCATTTTGCCTATGAAACCCATCAATCACCTGCATTATTATTCCCCCTCCCACTTTCTGTAAGCTATTTCAGCACAAAGATTGTGGGTCATCTGACTTAGCAGATAATTGGCTTGACTAAACACATGCACACCCAACACACTGTAAAATCTGGATGGAGCCAAGTGATACGCAAAGAACAGGGGAGGAAAACCTGAAAATGTCTCTTATTTTTTACTTGACTCATGACTTGAGGGGTTTTGTATTGTTACTAGTTAATTATAGAACTAATCAGTATAAGAACTAAATTGTACTCTTGCAGTTAACTTAGTCACATTGAGTAATTTTATTTTACTATAGGGGAACTCTGTGCATTGAATTGTCACTTAGTCTTAAGGCTCAATTATTTCAAAATCATTATTATTTTAAAGGTTTTAAACTGAGTTGTAGAGTATTCATCAGACCTCAATGATACCTACTTGTAACTATAAAGTTATTTATTAATGTTACTGTGCTAGCTACAGAATTGATATTACTACCTTAAGATTTGACCACATTATCCCTTCATATGCTGAGTTCAAGAAACATGAACTCCACTTCATCTGCTCAATGGATCGCTAGGTCTAACGAGGAATCTTTAAATGCTCATCATACCTGTCAATCAGTTCACGGGCCAGTTGTTATAAATAATTTCATCTACCTATAATAATTTGAAACTATTCCTGCAGTCTTAGTTCACATGACAGTCAATTACATATTTTACTATACATTTATTTATCCCAGGTGATCAAAGACCTTCTGTGGACCAAATACCTATGATCAAAGTACTGCAGTGGTCAAACCACTTATGGTCAAAGCGCATCTGTGGTCAAAGTCAAATTAATTTATATCACACACAAGCCATAGAATGAACTTACAGATAAGAATTATTTTCATTTAATTATTTCCTCACCTGACCAAGCTCTTCTACTTCATTTGAAACATAAACTGTTTCTTCAACTTTAGGTATACTTTGTGGTTTGCTTTCTTCCTCAGCCAATTCAAAGTCAGATTCACTCAAGCCTGTACTACAGTGATCTAAAATAAAATTATGAAAGCTTTGAGTAAAGTAAGCACAAAACAAACAATATATATAACAATATTAAGACCAGTGATAACGAATGTTGGTGAAATCTGGAAACTAAAAATACAAGAGAAAACATTCAATACATAGGAGAGAAAAATACTTTTGAAAATATGGACAGACATGAATGAAAATGTATAGAGTTAATGAGATATACAAGGACCCTAGAAAAGTGGCATGTGTTAAAAATTGTTTGGCCATTTTAAAATAATAACAGAGGGGTAAAAATCCCAGAGGAAAACTGCTAAAAGGCAGACCTATGCTTGGTGAAAAGCCCAGCATGATGTAGACTACTTTAAGTGGTAAAGAATAGAATAGGGAAAGCTAGCCAATGCTAATTAACCAGCAATTTCTTGACACTTTGCAAATCTTTTGTTTTAAAACAATAAAAGAAATCAAACTGTTTGATAGATGGCTCAAGCATTGGAAGTTCTGCCCCCATTTGTGGTTAATAACATCCATGATAAAAAGATCAGTAGGTAGAAATGTTTTGAGGTTGAGATTTGTCTACAGACAGTGAGGGTTGGCCAACTGAAAGGATCAGAAATTACTGAATTAAGGTTGATACACTTGGCAGATAAATCCCTAATATCTCATAATGTAAGAGACCAATGAGTTTCTAGCAACTGACACTGTTTAATAGGTTGATATTTAGTAAGATTATTAGAGTTTGTATGAACTGTTTTTTTTTAAGTACCAGAAAATATATTACAAATGAAGAAATTCTTTTAGAATTAAAGCTATATCCATAGCTTTCTGAAGGAATAGAACTAAAATATCTTAACTTCCATTTGATTGCATGGTAACAAGATGTTATGATTTGAGTAATTTTTTAAAGTGATAACAAACCATCATCATCACTAAAGTGCTCAAGGAGATCCTCTGACTCTTCTATAGTTTCTTCAGTATCATCAATCAAACAAGAGCTCATATGTGAGGCTAATGTTGGAGGTATGTCTGGTGCTAAGGCAGCAGTCAGATCAGTGCTTATGTCATTTGGTCGTGAGGTTGTACGTTTAATAAGACTCGTGCACTTTAAAGCAAGCTCTAATCCATCCATCCAGCACTTTCCTTTACATTAAGGAAGACATTAGGAATAAAAATTACTAATGTAAAAAAAGAGCATACAATAATTTTAAAAGGAAACTTTGTGAATTATCAAAAACAAACAAATCATACTTTTCACCAAGAAGTCAAGATAATGGTCTCTTAAAATAACTCAGCAGAAAAGCATTTGCCTGCCACTCAATCCCTGAATATCCATTACCCCAAACAGCCTAAATCCTTAACCACATTCTCCTTACTATATGTAAACAACTTGTTTTTTTTTTTTTTTTGCAAAAAAAAAATTATTATTATTATGAGCTATAAATATTTTCTACAAACATAATGCTCTTAAAAAAACAAATTAACATAGGACACAACACTAGGCTTAATCCATTTCACTTAAAATAAACAGTGCTTAACATAAATGCACACTATAAAAAAAAACAACAAAAAAAAAACAACCTTATTCAGAACAGAACACATGAAAATATAATATTTGATCCTAACATTAATGTAGCAATAACTCTAAACTTTTAAGTGGAAAGTACTGCTAATGTCTTACCCTAACAATAGCTTTGTTATTAAAACAATCACTATAAAAATTTCTTACATCATTTTGCTTTGGTTTTTACTTCATTTCTGAGCATTGTGTACAACACAAAGTAAAATGAATTTTTTTAAGAAAAAATTAAAACTTTAAGTTGTTGTAAATTTATTTAAATGCCAATATATATTAAGTTTTAACAATATATTGAACGCACTGTTGAAATAATATTATTTAAGTTGCAAATAATCAGTTGTTGGGGAAGATGAAAAATGTATGGTTTTGTGTAGTTTCTACCCAGTTTATTTGTCAGTCTCTACATAAAACAATAGTTTTAAAGTTATCTCAGGACATAAACATATGTGTGATACCTTGGTTCTCAGATGGTGCACGAAAGATGGCATAGGACATGGGTAAGGGCTGAACAAATGCACCAATAGTTTCTCCTTTTGGTCCCTTAAAACATGAGAAAAGAAAAATGTTAACCCTTTATCTACTGACGGTACTTATAAGTACCACTTTAATTAAGCGCCTGTATTATTTTTAATTTAAGACGAATTTTAAAAATTATTGATGTAATTGATAGTATTATCTCCCTTGAGTAACAGGTAGGTGGAGGGAACGATGTTTTTTTTGAAAATTACTGGTGTGGCGCCATTTTCAATCTCTACCTGTATCGGTAGTTCACAATTGTTCTGTACATATCTCACATGTGTTCCTGATTTCCCTTTGTTTTACCTTATTCTTCACGTTTTCAACACCGAATATTTTTTATTGGCATCTTCAATAGTCAGGCAAATGCATCTAACTTCTAGTTATACAATTTTTATCAAATTGTCTTTGTAATAGATCGATGTTTACAAGTGGACTTATAAGTACCGTCAGGGCACACGGACATTTTTTTAGGATTTCTTGGAAAATGCTGATTTTCGATGTGGAGTGACATAAATATTATTTTGATAATTAATTATCGAAATGTACTTTAAAAAATATATTTATGCATTTATAAGAAGGTTAGCATAGGGTTTTCTTCAGAAATATTGTAATTAATTGCAGATTTCTAGTAGTAAAAGAATAACAAGAATAGAGGTGGCAGTTGCAGGCTCGTTTTCTAGGTTTAGTATACGTTATATGTATACCAAAGTCTAGTTCTAGAAGTAAGATTTGTAAGTTATATTTGTTGCAAAAAACTGTCTTGCATACAATAGCTAGCGTGTACGTAATGCATACATGTAGACTAGTAATAGTCCATACATCTGCATGTAGTATAGATCGTTTTGTAATTTTGAATCAGTAAACACAAAACAGTAGGCCACTACGGCTATTCAAAACACATTTAGCTCACTTCTATTTATAAAGTTTACACAGTAGTGTAGACTTGTCATAACATTCTATTAGGCTACAATTACACTAGTATTACTAGTAGTAGTGTACTGAATGACTAGGATTTCGTTTTCAAAATATTTGTTTATGCGGCTCATTGTAATGGCTATTGGAAGCCTCCAGCAAAAGCAGGTTCAGTCCGGCAACTGTTGCCACACCAGAAAGATGACAGACAAGAATTACTCAGCAATGAGGAATGAGGGAGCATGCCATGTCGGCACCTTTTGCTGTGTTTGAGGTCTAAGATGTGTTCCGATAGAAAATCCAGTAAAAATCGTACTCAAAATATACTTTTGTGCGTGTTTATGTGTGGAAACTACAAAAAAATGATTGTTATAATGATTGCCATGTTATTATTTATTAAGTTGTATCGTTTTCTCCTGTTTTGTAAATTTTTTTATTTTTGGAAAAAATGTCCTACATTCCTGACGGTACTTATAAGTACCAATACATGTTTGGGCCCTTAAAAATTTATGAAACAAAATTTCCTTCGACATATGCTTTAAATGTGCACAAAAGCAATATGATAACACATTGTTTAAGAAAAAATTTCATTCAGAACATAATTCCGTAAACAAAGGGTTAAATTTAGAGAATAAAAAAATTAGATATAATTATTTTCCAAATACAAATAAAGGAGTGATTTAGCAATAAGAGTTGGGAAGGCACTTCCAGTGTAATCAAGTTAAAGAAATATAGAAGTTTATGAATGGTTTTTTTTTCTCAAAAGAACAAAAATAGGTAAAAAGTTCATAAAATATGCTACTTACAAAATAATTGTATAAAACATAAAATTCTTTTCTTTTTTTTACTTTCTTGTATACAAAGTATAGAGGAAGTATTGCAATCGTGCAAAAAATCAAAATCGAGATTTTCACAAAACTCTAAGTTTTACACCTCCATGAGTAGGAAAAACATAGTTTTGCAATTTTTTTCTGTGAACACGATAACTTGAGTGCAATTACAGCTAGGTTGATGTAATTTTATGTATAAATAATATATCAAATCTATAGTTCTGTATCAACTTTTGAGCAATATCCCTTAACGGGAAGTGTAGTTTATTCTACTTTTGGTTTTTCAAAAGCCTATAACTTGAGTACAGTTTCTGATAGATAGACGAAATAAATTTCAGATATAAGTAAAAGATTGTGTTCACAGGCAAAATATGTACAGACAAAATTTCAAAACTATATTTTGTCTACAACGGGAGGTGTAAAACTTTAAGATTTTTAAAAATCAATTTAGATTTTTTGTAAGATTCCAAAACTTTCTCCATATTACGAGAAAGTAAAAATTAAGATAATAAACAACGTATATTGATATACAACAATGATTAGGCAATTTGACATCAAAATGTTTGTTTCAGATTCTTCTGTTTATATATAACATTGTCTAAATATTCTTTTTACATCATGTGTGTTTATGGTGAATTGAAGAGATTAATGTGTTTCTTTTTTTTTTAAATTTAGGTATTATCTGTTTTCATTTAAAATAAATAATGCTTGTCGATTGCTTTTGATCAATAATAAAATTGTTTAAAAATTTCTTTTTATAAATGCAAACTTTAATTCTTGGAGTAAAATGTTGATATTTTTAAAACAATCAACTTAAAAAAAATTTTTTGGACCTAAATCAATTTGCTTTATCTTTCATTTTTACACGTTCCACATTTTTCATTAATGTATTTATATGATTTTCCACAAATAGATTCCCTAAAAAATTAAAGAATCAGTATACCTATTGGTAAAAACCATACTATAAATTATCATGGCTTATCATTAAGGACATGGGCGGGTGATGAAAACCAAAATGCTTATTTCTAAACCTAATGCTATAATATCTAGCATATAGTTATGACTCAATGAGTTAAGTCTAAAAATTAAAAAAAATGGCTAAACATTTCTCCTGCCATTGCTATGGTGGTGTGGCCATCTTGGATTGTTTTTATTTTACAATTTTAACAATGAAATAACTTTCTTAATTATTATTAAAATGTATCTAAATTTTCTCTAGTTATTCTGTATACATATACCAACAAAACTGATAGAATTTTTTTTTAAAAATTTGTATGGATTTTCTTTTACAGTTAAATTGGTGTATTATTAGCACAAATTTTGAATTTTATAAAGAGGTTTTCAGAAAAAAAATTGTAAAAACAAAAGTATTTTAAAATTTTAAAATGTAATCTATCACTGTATCAGGATTGTTACCAATATGTATCTCTATAATCCTGCAATTTTTATTGAATTTGCAGAAGCCACTTTTGAGTTATTTTGATGTTAAAAAGGTAAATAAAATCCAAAGATGGGTTTTCTGCAATTTTTATTTATTTTTAGACTTAACTCATTGAGTCATAACTATATGCTAGATATTTCACTACTTGCGTACCCGTCCCCACGCATTGCCGTGGAAATGGAAGTAAGTCTGACGAAATATATAAGAAGGGTTTCATCCATGTGTTACCAATTTACAAAGTTATTTTTTTGCAACATTCTCAAGGTGACGAAACTGTACAGAAGGATTTCCTCGCGTTACAAAGTTATTTTTAAAAATGTGACTTTATTTTTGTATGTATAGTGAAATATTGCACCCTCCAGTTTCGCCGCCCTTGCGAAATTAAAAAAATGATTTTTGCATGAACCCTTCCGGGTAGTGTTCTAATCTACTCCCCAAAGTCTCATGGCGATTGTATGAACAGTGTCAAACAGCAATCAACTTTATTTTTATATACTGTACATAGAGAAAAATCACACCCTCCCGTGGCGCCGCCCTTGCAAAATTAAAAATGAATTTTTCTTACAGAACCCTTCCATGGTGTGTTCTAATCAACTCACCAAAGTTTGATGGCGATCGGATGAACGACGTGAAACCACATTCGACTTTTATTTTTATATACCGTATATAGAGAAAAAACAAATTGCGCCCTGCCAGGGCACCACCCCTGCGAATTTGAATTTTTTTTCCGCAGAAACCTCCTCAGGAATATTCTCAACAACTTCCCAAAGTTTCACGACGATGTGATGAGAGGTGTAGTAATGCATAAAAGACAAACACACACAGAGACGTACATTGCTTTTTATATATTTAGATTAGGTTGAGAAATAAGCATTTTATTTTGGTTTTCATCATCGGCCCATGCCCTTAAGGTGAATGATTATGCTAACTCTAGAAATATTAATATCCCTAGCCGTTGAAAAAGAAGGAGGGTTGAGTGTTGGGCTATCAACCCCACCTTGTAAAAAAAACAAGCTAAAGCAAATGCAATAACGACAACCCAAAGTAATCTTGGTCAAGGAAGTTCCTCTTTGAATAAGTCAACGATGCATAGTAGTGAAAGTTTCGGGGAAACTAGTCTGCTGATTAAAACTCGAAATGCCCAAAACAAAAACCAGATTAGGGTCCTGGTACAGCAGAACTCTATACGAAAGCAGCAGACCTGCACAGGTGGGTCAGGGAATGGGAAAGTTCAACATCAAAGTTTTTGGATTAAGTGAGACACAGTGGAATGGCAGTGATCAATCAAGGCTGGCTACAGGAGAGAATACTCAGCTAATGAGGATACAGCCTACCAATCTTCAGAGTGTAGCACTTGTGTGCATGGGAAAAAAACTCAGCATGCTTCAATACCAAGGGAAAAAAGTAACTTTAATTCAGTGCTATGCACCCACAGCATTCTGACCACACCATTGCTTTATATACTGGGTGAAGAAACATATGAACTCATCTGCCCTATGTATCTTAAGGTTTTCTTTCTTCTTCTTCTTCGTTCTTAATTATTAGTGTTGAAGGGGATCGAGATTTATCTGCCAGTGGGTTTGAACTCGAGACTTTGTTCGAATTTATCAACCATGAGCTTTTTGCCGACTCGACCACGCCTCCAACACAATTAAGCGTTACGTGTCAACTGGTTATGCGCCATTGAGGCCATTGACTCCGATTTCAGCCTGCTTTTTCTTTTTGGATTTGCTTCCATAGCATTTGTCCAACCAAGAACAATCTACAAGGCAGCAGTTGTTTAATTTTGGAGTTGTCTCTCCTAGAAGAGTGGCTGTCCCCAGCTAACGAGCCTCATCTGCCCGAGGGTTCGAACTTGAGACTTTTCGGTTTAGCAACCATGAGCTTTACAGACTCGACCACGCCTACCCCCTCTTAAGGTCTGAAAGAGGAGCTTTACTACGGACCTAATAATGTTGCAAAAGATGAGGAGAAAATTACTTGTACATGTTCCCCAAGACTTCATGCATCAAAATGTTGAAATTAAATTCACAGTAGACCTCTCTCAGAGGCGAAAGAGCCTGCACTGCATAAAAACACAACAATTCAAAGGAGAAATCCCTCTATGCTAAAATGAAGTGATACCAGAAACCTGATCAGGAAAACAGAAATCACCTTTTACAAATACAGAAAAGCAAATGCCTAATATTTTAGTTCAGTGAAACTCACTAAATATAATAGTTAGACTTAATTGGTAATCAAATTGTTAACATTGGTGATTAAATATTACACAGTGAGAAACTAGATAAAAGAGAGAAGTTATAGTTGAATAGGTAACAATGAGGTTAGCCAATGCTACGCAGTAAAGCACTGAGACATTAACCAAATAAAATAACCACATTAGAAGGATAAAACCCAACCAAAAAAATCTAACTTGAAAAACCTCCAGATGCACACTGCATAAAAATGAATATTATTACAAATGTTAAGAAATAAAAAGGTTTAGCAGACAAGTTCTGGAGTCACATGCTTTTAAAAATAATTTTTACATTATAATAAATACCTTTGTTGCCCAAATGGACTGGTCCAGTGGATGAAACAATTTAAAACAAAATCCCTCTTTTTTTGAGGGCCTCTGCAGAAGCTGACAAGTGTTCAGCAAAATTGTACCAACCCAGTGACCTGTCTGTGGACCATAATATAAAGGCTAAAAATAAGAGTGGTGTATTAATGAATTAATGAACAGTGGACAATTGGCAAATAGCTTCCTCCTTAAAATAGGGGAGACAATATATGAAAGGGTTTGGAAGCAGATGTCAGTCCATGTGTATTGGCCCAAGCACAAGTCGTATGATGGTAATGCTGACAATGACTTTATCCCTGTATTTGTGAAGCTAATTGGTCTGATCTTTCACATATCTCATCAACGTACATGTTACAAGGCAAATCATTGCACTTGGAGTGGTGGTCTTGATCCTCTCTGGCTAGACTGTTCTGTCATTACAAAGTCTTTTTATCTTTTGCTTAGTCTTAACTAAGGCATTAAAATAACTCTATGTCCAACATTATACTTAACTGTACACCTACTTATGGATGAGCATAGTTTATTCAACACAATAAAGAAAAACTCTACTTCATCAACTCAATGAATATTAAAGTCTAAAAGCAACTTTCTTTGTAAAACATGGATAAACTGTGTGTTATTCTTATTTACCTAGCACAAAAGATAGTACAGATATTAGTTTTTTAAAAAGAGTATAATTTAATTTTTAAATAATTCTAGTAATGTATATATCATCACAGACTGTAAGAATCGAACACAGAGAATAAATAACTAGAATAAAAAATACAAGAAGATTTACTTTCATTTTTTCACTCTTGTATATAATCAACATTGATGGTTTGCAAACACACCAAAGTTTAGTCCAACTTTTCAAGGTACCACGAACTTTTAACCAGTCAGCCATAAGAACAAATGACTGATCAGATGCTGAGTTCATTATTTCTCTAGCCACTTCTTTCTTTTGGCTTCTGTAACTTTTTTTCTTCTCCTGTAGATGTTATAAAAATTATTTATCATCCACTTAAAATACTATAACAATAAATAAATACAAACTGAGTGTTGAAGTTCCTTACAGCTAAGATTAACCATAATTAAAATGGATGGGAGAATTATAAAAGTTAAAATCAATTATAAATATTGAGTATGTTTTAAAAGTTATTTCTTTACTAGGCATAATGCCTAGCTTCGCTTAGGTTTTCAAAAACATTTGAGAATTTGAATACTTAATTATTTAGTGACGTCTGAGGTGTGGAGTGCTTAAATTTAAACAGTAATGCTAATTTTAGAGAATATGTTGTTGTTCTTTGTTGTTTAGAGAAAATATTGGAAAGTTCAAAATGTATGACTAAAATGGAATTAGAATTACAGAGGTTCCATGAACAGTATAATAATAATTATATTACATTGACTTTTAAAATTAATTAACATATTTAATTAGGGTACGTAACTTAATTAACAACTTGATTTTATACTGAAACAAATGCTATACTTCATCATTTTCTGTTTATGTTTAAAATAGTATATAATTGTTTGAAAAATAATTATTTTTAAAAAGTTACCTCCCTTGAAAATTAAACGAATGAAGTATGTCTTTGTTTACTTTTTCACAAACAATTGTTTATAAGAAAATATGTCATCTGGACAAATCTAACGACCCTAAGGGTTTTTTTTTTGACGGGAATAATGTTTTTTTGTTATCCTCCGGGGTCGGTCTACGACCTCACAAAATATTAGGGAGATTGTTCGTCAATTTATTTATATATATCTTATATAATGAAAATTCACTAGCGGTCACTTTTTAGTCCTCATCGAATGCTTTGAGTCTGACCAACAATTTTTCCATACGGCCTAGTCATCTATAGAGGTGCATGCAAAAAAATGGCCAGATAAATAGAGATTGAGTATCCTAAACTTTATGTTGAAATTTCCCTGTTTTTCCCATAAAATACAAAGATTATATAGGGAAATACGACTGGTCAGTTCTGACCCATTTGCAGATTTTTCCCGGATGTGGCGAGTTTGTTCTGACACCCCTAGGTGTTCTCCTACCACCTCACAAAATATCAAGGGGGTCGTTCGGCAAGAAATTTTTTCGTTTTATAGCTAAAAAAAGAGATTTTCACTCGCTGTCATCTTTTAGCCCTCGGTGAGGGCTTTGAGTCAAACTGACAGTTTTCCCAAAAGGCCAAGCCATTTACACAGGTGCATGCAAAAAATCAACCAGACATACAAAAGGTAAGTGCCCAAAAATCTTTGTTGAAATGACCCTGTTTTCCCCCATAAAATACAGAGATTATATAGAGAAATACGACTGGTCAGTTTTGACCCATTTCCAGATTTTTCCCGGACATGGCAATTTTTTTGTGACACCCCTAGGCATTCTCCTACCACCTCACAAAATATCAAGGGGGATTGTTCGGCAAGAAAGTTTTTTGTTATATAGTTCAAATAAGGAGAATTTCGTTTGCTGTCATGTTTTAGCCCTAGTCGAGTGCTTTGAGTCAAACCGCCAGTTTTCCCTAAAGGCCAAGCCATTTACCTAAGAGCATGCAAAAAATTAGCCAGATATATTGAGTTTATGTACCCTAAATTCCGCGTTGAAATGACCCTCTGTTTTTCCCGTAAAATACAAAGATTATATAGGGAAATACAACTGGTCAGTTTTGACCCCTTTACCAAGTTTTCCCAGATATGCCGAGTTTTTTGTGACATCCCTAGGTGTTCTCCTACCACCTCACAAAATATCAAGGGGGGTCGTCGGGCAAAAGTTTTTTCGTTATATAGCCCATATAAGGCGCCGGTCAGTCGAGGTCAGTTTTGACCCCCTCTTCGTGGACTTTTCGGCCAACCGCACCGGCTCTCGTGTTCTATTGCCCCAAGGCAGACTCATGCTAAATTTGATAAGCGGCGCTGGGAAATGCCCTATCGGGCACCTGACAACTTTGTCAAAATTCCTTATTTTGTGTGGGCTACACCAAATTTTGAATCTTTTTTTGGCATTGGGTAATATGTAAGTTGATGCTTGGTAATTGCTTTTAGGACCAACTTCAACAATAGCCAGAGTTTACCAATTTGGCTTAGAATACAACCCTAGATGGCCAGTCTGCACTTAAAAAGAACTTAAGGTTTTAATTTTTTTTTAAAAATGTAATTATGTTACCTTAAGCGATTCTCGTTTGGACAACTTGCTTCCAGACTGACAGACTTTTTCATTTGACTAAAAGAAAGAAATAACATTAATATATACAAAAATACATGAATTTTTACACATCTTTAGAAAAAGTTAAAATTTTAATGAAGGTAAAATAATATGTAATTTTCCTAGACAGGAATAAACAAAATAAGTAGATAAAATAATTAATACATGTACACTGATTGTGCGCAAGTTATGTAACACAAAAAAGTGATTTTTGAAATCCAAAACTTAACTGCAGTTATAACTTAATGTAAAATTTCTAGAGACCCACTACTTCATGTTACTTAGCTAATCTAGAGACACCTTACTGCACACATAGAACCATACACTGAATGTTTTTAATATGAAAAAAGTGAAAAAGTTTGTGGAATTAATACAGAAATCAAATTAATAAATAATAGTTTTATGCGGCCATATATAACAATAAATATTAAACTAAATAAAATGAAAAACCACCACCCAGCTCTGATCACATTACTTAAATCACACCACAAATCATTTAATTATACATTTTTTGACTGCTTATGCTGTGTGTACTTTTTTTCTTTTCTGAAAATAACAATCAATACAGATAATCTACAATAGATGAAACACAACTTTAAAAAGTGGACAGGTGGTAAAGCAATTTAATATTCACCTTAAATAGTTTTTTATCTGGTGAGTCAAAATTGTCCAATATTGAGTCTGAAAGCTGAATTTTTCTACTAGAGCCATCTATTGTGTCTCCATCCAAGGAACCTAATTGAACAAAATTAAATTAAATTATTAGAGGGTGCTCAGCTGTATTTCACTAAACAGTAAATTCATACACCACTTAATTAGTTAACATATTACACCTGTTGATACTATCTTGAGATCATGTTCTGTTTTAGCTGATTTGCCGTGAAATGACCAAGTCCTCATCAACTTAAAACGGCTTTTCTTTTGTAGATAATGTAATTTGTTAGTACTGTTACACAATGCATCAGAAGACATCCTTGATGAATAGTTCACCTTTCTGTTCTAATTTGATATTTAAATTGACCGACTGCGTTCTAAGCCACCGTCAATACTACTTTAGAAAATATAAATCCGTAGAACAGATGGTGAAACATAACGGGCAAAAATGCAATGTTTCCAAAATTATTAAACATCTACGGTAAATCAAAGTATCACTAATATATAATATATGTGATTTATCAACCATAAAAAATAACGAATGTTGTTTTTTTCTTTCTTTTCTTTCGATACCGTAGTTGGCCGTTTAGCAGAAAACCTATTTCTAAAGACTTGGTGACATTCAAGTGGAGTTAACGGGTCAATACACTCAACATCGGCTTTCTACAAAGTTGGTGCGAGCTACATTAATCTATAAACACATCACGTATCTTGTGGCAATATATATATAGATTTCTATGTCTTTAAAAAAAATCTAATTTAACCATCGAGAAACCACTGTTGGATGTCTAATGAAGAAAAAAAAACGGTGTCATGTACCCCCTATACTTTCACACTCAAACAAGACGTTTTTTTAACATCTTGTGCCTGGTTAGTTGTGACGTAATATGTTTAGTGTGTGTGAAAGGGTTGACTGATTCTAGTGAATGAATAATTTTTAAATTGAATGTTAGTCTCATTTACCGTTTTGCAGCTAAGTAACATGTCAGAAATGTGTCTTTAACATCAAATTACAAAAGCAACTCGGTTATAAAAGATGAAATCGTGTGTGCCGATACTAATATACGCTTCAATATCCTAGCCAGTGGTTTAAGGTAAAACGTATTCACTGTGAACTTTGAAGGTATTTACTGAGTACAATAATATTTAAAAGATTATATACCAGCGTTTCTTAATCCGGGTTCGATCGAGGTCGGAGGTTCGGCGGAGGTCAAGAAACACACCCGACTCCTTTGATTTACGAATGGATTTCGTTAGTGCGGACGATAGAATTAACGACGGTACCGGTCGATGACGATGTGACTATCGACATCGTGCTATTTCTATATCCTAGAACCCTTGCTGTCAAGAGACACATACGTCCCGAATCGTGTCAACTTCACCTATACAGGCGCGCGTTGATCGTGTATATGCGACGAACATACTTATGTTTCTATATAGTGGCCCAGTAGTCGACTTGTGATTGTCGTGATGGTACGTTCATATTTTACGTTGATATCTTAATCCCTTCATACTATGTCGAGCTAACAAAGGAAGTGGTTGGACGAAGATGTACAGTACGGATTCACGCGTGTAACGGAACTTGATGGGGGTTAGCGTCCTAACATCATGACTTGCAATGTCAAGTTGAGCTATTCTAATCTAGCACCGGCAAAACTTAGAGAACACTTCCTAAAGCTGTACGGAGACAGAATATACAAGACTGAATACATCGTTATCTGAATTCAAGGTGAAGCAGCGCATTTCTGAAATGGTGTCTAAAACTAAAAGGCAACAGCAGAGGTCATATTGATTTGCTGTAAATGATCATCATTTGGTTTTCGTTTTAGTGTGAACATATTTGAATGGGTTTGTTCTTTAAACATGGTAATATTTGTGCACAAAATCTACTTTTTTGGACGCGTGTTGACTGGGTGGAGGGGGGGGGGGGGTTCAAGTCCATGTGGACGTCCACAGGTTTAATTTAACACCGACGTGCTAATCAGTGTTTCTTCCAGACATTTTTCTCCGGGGGGGGGGGGGGGCAATTGAAATTTTCGGGGGGGGGGGGGGGCGGTAGACTTTCTTCGGGGGGGGGGCGGACACTGTTAAAAGCATATATTTTCTATATAAATTATATAAATTTCATTTCGTTCGGGGGGTGGTAAAAAATTTTCGGGGGAAGAGATACCTGGAAGAAACTCTGGTGCTAATAATTTAAAACAACCGTGAAACTCTTATCCTGCATGTAAAGCGTGAAGTTAAAACATCGCAGCGTGTAAATAAAGCACTGGATTTACCCCTACACCGGGGTCATCTATAAAATAAGTAATGTCAAGATATTTAACGATTTTTACCTCCCCTCCCTCCCGTCACTTATCTTAATTAAAAAACAGGACACCTAAAATGACGTCACATCTCAGCCTATCACAACTCTCAAAAATGTAATTTAAAAAAAAAACCAGCACAATTTTTTTTTCTGAAATATTTACTGAGCATATCAGCGTTGAGTTGGCCTCTATCCCCCCCCCCCCCTTTTTTTCCCAGAGTGTGATGTCATTTATGGACGAAGCCTAATAAAAAAACAGAATCGAAGCCATGAACCCGAGGAGGGAATTATACTGTGTTAGCCCCCCCCCCCCCCCCCCCCCCCCCACACGCTTGAAAACTTTGCATGCGTTTTTTGTTGGTAAAGGGCACAATACTTAAAAATTGAAAAAAAAATTATACAGACGTTTAAAAATAAACCTTACTAATTTTTTCTCTCCACGGGCTACATTCTACTTTTAATATTTAGGCCTAATAATAAACATTATCGAAAATAATAAAGCCATGTCAGTAATTAGGTACACAATACATGTTACTGAACTAGTAAATTCATCTCAGTAATTAGGTTCACAATACATGTTACTGAACAAGTAAATTGTTAGTAAGTTTTTAGCGGTCTATTACATTTTTGTGGACATACGCAATGGGGGTGGGGAAAGGTGTGGGTGATAAATCCGGAATTTTTGTGGACGTCAAAAATGGATGGCACCAAATCAGTCTGACGTCTAGGGCACTAGATAAAGTCTAGTGCTGTCTTAGTTTATATAGGCCTAGGACATTCATTCTACGAGGGATTTGTGATTGAAGTTCCGTCGTAATAAACAATTCGGTGGTTTTATTTTTCTCTGTGACTAGATCTATATGAAAACAGGCATCTTATAAGGATTTGATATTCTAAAATTATCTGAGGTGAGGGCTTCGGGAGAAATCAATAGGCTACAGTAAAATTTCACCGTTGTACAAAACATCGTTTACAGGCCGCATATTACCACACTCAAGAGCACCTATCTTTTTTTTCAGCCAGTACATGTGTTAAATCTTTGTCAAGAATAAATTTGTAAATTTATGTTATTCGTGTATAAAGTTGCACTTGCTGGCTTGTTAAACATAGATAGGCTAAGCAGCATAGGAAACAGATGAAAGATTCTGTTGCGGATGTTTTGACGTTTTTAACTCTGCGATAAAACCTCGAAATAACATGAATACTAGATCTATAAATAGACAGAAAGTTTACCGACAACTCGCTATAAATAGCTTTAGGTGATAGATCTATATACAATATATTCATATGACGCGGAGTCATTCCGCAAATTTAAGAATTCATCTTGTAATTGATCGGGAATGTTGGCAACATCAAGGGAGGCAGAGAATGGGTTACGTGTCAGTGCAGTTTCTTCTTCTTTCAGCTTAGGGAAAATAACGCCGCAGTTTGTTTTCTCGAGATTTAAGATGCCCAGAAATCTCCTGTTTCATTTTTATTTTATTAATCTCACAATCAGATTCATCTACCAAAATGATGTTCAAGTTTCGAAGGTTTGATAGGCTTATAGTTAAGAACAACTTTGCACAGTACGCATTGTTTTTCTCTATTTAATTTCCTGTGATGTTAGTAAAGCCGAATTTAAGATATTCTTGTAAAAGGTTTTTTTTTCATACTAAGGTTTAGTCTACAAGTTCGCGACCTCCCAGAAAGGCCTTCGCGACACCCATGGGGGTCGCGACTCCCAATTTGGGAACCCATGACCTATCCAGTATCTATATGGCTGAATGTGGGACCAAACAGTAACATGACATGAGTGTAGAAAACCCTGTAATTGTTATGACAAAAATAACATATCCAGTTTCTGTATGACTGAAAGTGGGACCAAACTATAACATAACATGAGTGTAGAGAAGCATTTTATTTTTATATTAAAACAAGTTAGTCTAATTTCGGTCCTGCACTAGGTAGGCCCTACTTAGTCTGGGTAGCATAAGGCATTTACTAATCAAGAAGTGGTAGAGAATTGGCGCATCTTGTCCAGATAAGAAGATTATAATAATAATTGTTCTACAATCTAGACTCAACCATTTTGAATAGATTTTATTTTTATGACTCAAAATTTTTAAATAGCTTATATATGAGTATTGAAAGGCTTGATAATACTAGATCTAGATCTGTAAGAAGTGTAAAAAAATTATCCTCGCTGGTTTACTAATTTAACGATAATAGTCCCGTCTGCTATCTACATTACTCATCACTATCTCAACTAGATCTAGATTTCTAGATCTAGATTCTACACCTAGATCTCTAGAATAGCAGTAAAACCAACCGTAAAAGTGAGTAGAAAACCAAGTATCGCTACATACTCGTTTTCACACTAAATACTTAGATCTAGATCTAAAAATTTCAAATATACCTAGATCTAGCTTCACAAACATGAGGCCTAAAATAACCGACAAACAATATTATCTAAATGAAATATTTACAACGAATAGATAAGTTTGGTAAACACAAAACACAGCCTTGACCCCAGGAGGTCAAGTTTGGGAAGTTAATGTTAACCTCACTCATACTCATCATAGGCTAGTCTTGTAGACAAAAAAAAAAAAGAGTATGGTAGCAATACAGCCTATTGTATTAAAAATTATGCTAATATTTTAATTGTACAGCTACTGGTAAAAGAAAACTTTAGATACTGAAGTAAAGCAATTTTTTGTTCAACACGCAATATGAATAAACGCAACTCAGATTATATCGCACAAGAACCATATCGGAATAATTCCCTCTTCTCGACAAAAAAATTATAGATATAGATCTAGATCTAATATATGTGAAATAGATGTGTGAAAACTAATACTGAAAATCTTTGTATATCCTCACACTAGCACACACACACACAAAAGATTATTTTCGGCTATGACGTCGATTATTTATAATGGGTTTGCTTCCTGATCCAGTCGATTTCCCCAGTGCTCTGATCGATGTTGGCTGTTATTTATTTAAGGCAGCTGGTCACATTTTATATCTGCTACGACAGGTCGTATCTAAGTTACAAGCTAAACGATTGAGGATGTAGGTCCAAAGATCAATTTAGGCCTAGGGGTCATCCATAAATGACGTCACGCTTTTTTGACGATGTTTACCCCTCCCCCCCCCCGTCACAAAGAGCCAGACCCCCCCCCCCCTAAAATGACGTCACACCTCAGCCAACACCCCCCCCTCAAAACTACAGTTGTATTTTTC